TACCGCTGAATGGGAACTGAAAAGCCACGTTCTTCAGACACGCCCCCTTGAGAGTCACACAAGTGAGGATTTGGCCAAAGGGATAACAGAAGCATTGGAAGTGTGGAATTTGGAGAGCTAATATAACTATTCCTGTTACTACTGACAATGCCAGGAATATAGTTAATGCTGTTGTTGGAGCTGCTGGACTTGGGCCACAAAATAGGGTGCTTTGCCCATGTCATTAATCTAGCATCTCAGAAAGCAATTGCAGTGCAGCAGATCTCTCGGCTCCTGGCAAAGATCAGAAAGATTGTGACCTTTTTTTCACAGAAGCACAACAGCAGCCCATGTGTTGAAGACAAAACAGGAGTTGCTGCAGCGTCCTGTTCACAAACTCATCCAAGATATACCAACTAGATGGATTTCAAGCTATGATATGATAGAAAGATATATTGAACAGCAGGCTGCAGTTTATTCTGAAATGACAGACAAAGCTGTGAAGAAAAATGTTAAAGACATTATGACTTTGTCTGAAAACGACATGTGACTGGCTGAGAATGTTATCTGAATACCTTGAAAACTGTGACAACTCTTATGTGCACTGAGTCCTCTCCATCTGCGTCCATGGTCCTTCCTATGAAAATGATGATCCTGAAATCCATGGTACTGTCTGATGATGACAGCCCAGCAGTGAGGGATGTCAAAACAGCCATCAAAAATGACCTGCAGCAGCGATAAACGGTACCTGATCTTCAAGATTACCTATCACAGCTTTGGATCCACGATTTAAAGGTGTGATGAACTGAGAAATCAAATTTTCCTTGAGCTTTTGACATCTAAGAGGTCATCATACATACAGAAGAAGAAGAAGAAGAAGACAGACAGAAAAGAAAAAGCACTCAGTAAATATTTTCGTATTTTACTTTTCCTTAAAGGGATAGTTCACCCAAAAATGAAAATTCTATCATCGTTTACTCACCCTCAAGTTGTTCCAAACCTCTATGTGTTTATTTGTTCTGCTGAACACAAAGAAAGATATTTGGAAGAATGTTTTTATCAAACAGATCTCATTCCCCATTGACTGCCATAGTATGTATTTTTTCCTACTATGGGAGTCAATGGGGATTGAGATCTGTTTGATAAAACAGTCTTCCAAATATCTTCCTTTGCAGAACAAATAAACACATAGAGGTTTGGAACAACTTGAGGGTGAGTAAATACTGATGGAATTTTAATTTTTGGGTGAACTAACACTTTAATTTCATGGTAACACTTTAAAATAATGGTCCATGGATAACAAGTAGCTATGCAGGAAGTAATAGGTAGTACTGCATTAACACCGAAGTTAATACTATTAACTTTTAATACTATTAACTTTAATACTAGTTAATTAGTTAATACTATTAACTAATATGGAAGCAATATTAACTAAGCATTAAGTAATAGGTAATTCAGTACAAAGGTAGTTCCTTGGTAGGTATTTGATTGTTACTAAAGAAATATATCCTCATTGAGAACTACTTGTGAACTAAGAAATAATAACCAATTAATTACTAATCACAAAAGTAACATGTCTAAAAAGTGAACAATTGTGGGGGTTTTATACTCTTAACATGGTCATAACATTTCAGAAGCATGTGCCTCAAATGGGTTCTTTGTGGAAACCAGTTTATGAAGTTTATACATCCCCCCAAATACATTAGCTAGGTTGAGATTGTGACCACTACTCTTGCCAGGATGGACGCATGTTCTCTGTTTATTTAAAACTTAAACATAAAATAATCCTAATAATGACAGTTTTTAAAAGTAAACCTTAAATAATTAGGAAGTGATGCTGACACTCTCATGATTGGATTAGTTCACTATTATGAGCTCTATTGAATGTCAGTCACATATATCTCAGACTCCAAAGACCTATAACTTTATTTTACAATAGCTGCCTGAGGAGGACTTCTCTTTAGGACATGAATATAAACATTGATGTTCACTTGTCAAAAACAATTAGCATCTTTAATGAAGAAATTGGCTGCATTTATGTTACGATAAGCAGAAAAACCACATCTTCCAGATTACAGTGTTTGTTAGAATATTAGTGCCTCACAGAACCTGTACAGTATGTGTCAAATATAAAATTAAGTTACTTGTATCATTTGTGAAAAACATGTTAACTCCTCAATAACTACTTAAGCGTTACCTTGTGTAATGACAAGGTAACGCTTGTAGTTAGTTAGGAGTTAACATGTTTTTCACTTTAAAATAATGGGCCACATCACTAGTAGTTCCTGCGGGATGACAAGGTAACGCTTAAGTAGTTATTGAGGAGTTAACATGTTTTTCACAAATGATACAAGTTATTTAATTTTATATTTGACACATACTGTACAGGTTCTGTGAGGCACTAATATTCTAACAAACACTGTAATCTGGAAGATGTGGTTTTGCGCTTATCGTAACATAAATGCAGCCAATTTCTTCATTAAAGATGCAAATTGTTTTTGACAAGTGAACATCAATGTTTATATTCATGTCCTAAAGAGAAGTCCTCCTCAGGCAGCTACTGTAACATAAAGTTATAGGTCTTTGGAGTCTGAGATATATGTGACTGACATTCAATAGAGCTCATAATAGTGAACTAATCCAATCATGAGAGTGTCAGCATCACTTCCTAATTATTTAAGGTTTACTTTTAAAAACTGTCATTATTAGGATTATTTTATGTTTAAGTTTTAAATAAACAGAGAACATGCGTCCATCCTGGCAAGAGTAGTGGTCACAATCTCAACCTAGCTAATGTATTTGGGGGGATGTATAAACTTCATAAACTGGTTTCCACAAAGAACCCATTTGAGGCACATGCTTCTGAAATGTTATGACCATGTTAAGAGTATAAAACCCCCACAATTGTTCACTTTTTAGACATGTTACTTTTGTGATTAGTAATTAATTGGTTATTATTTCTTAGTTCACAAGTAGTTCTCAATGAGGATATATTTCTTTAGTAACAATCAAAGTATGCCAGGTATGAAAGTGAGGCTGTGAGGGATAGTCTTACCGTGTTTCCAATGGCATCCGCTGTAAAAAGCTGAATAAAGCTCCTAGATTACTTACAATTTTCCACAACTCACATTGTCGGGAGTTTTTTGTCAACTGTAATTTCTTGGAAAGATATTTTTCCACTGTTTCATGAGCAGAACAATCCGAAAACACATTAAATAACAGTACAGCCCATTGAAGAGATGCAAGTCTATCCCTCACAGCCTCGGTTTCATTCTCATTAAAAATCAAAGATGGCGCTGCCGTGAATAAGGCGTATTACTTACTGCTTAGTTAATATTGCTTCCATATTAGTTAATAGTATTAAGTTCGGTGTTAATGCAGTACTACCTATTACTTCCTGCATAGCTACTTGTTAACTACTGACCATTATTTTAAAGTTACATAAGTTATAAGTTAATTATATTTTGTACAACCTGATTACTGTAAATGAGTAAAAAAAACACTTAACATTATTTTACGGAATATAATAAGCAACTAATTTGATGTTCTAAACAAATAATTACATATAAATACTGGAAAACTAATGTATTTTTTTATGTTTTGATTGAAAGGTGTGCTTTTGCTGGTTTTGATATAATAATAGTGTGCCTATAGACCATTTCACAAGATGTAAACAACACTGGTCCAGAAGCACTTCCTGTTTCAGTTTTTTAACACTACATAAAAGCTGGGATAAAATACAACCAACAGAACATTTAAAACTGAATCAAAAAGTTAAACAAACATCTTTAAGATATTTTCTTTACATGTGAAATAAAGAAAACAGTTACAAACTGAAACAGGAAGTGCTTCTGGACCAGTGTTGTTTACATCTTGTGAAATGGTCTATATAGACAATGAAAGCTCAGATTCAATGATTATTTTGCAGCATCCCTCAAAACTGAGCACTACAGTCTCACATTTATTAGGGTGTTTTAGTAAATATAAATATGTATTATGTAATGTGTATATATGTTGATAAATATAGGCTAGGCCACTGATGTGTATTACTGTGTCCTGTTGTTTGGGTGTGTATTTCTCAATTGCTAACCCTCAAATGATTCAGTTTTCCAAAACATTCATTCAGTTCTTAAAACAAAGACACAATTTTCAAAACAAAAGTTATTTCACTTGTCTTCACACACATTACAATTTTCATCGTGATTTCTGCAACACTCTACACACACATGCCCTGATTTTACACAGGTTTAACCATGTTCTCATGATGATCAGACTCTCCACACACACATATACAGAAGAAGAAGAAGACAGACAGAAAAGAAAAAGCACAGAGTAAATATTTTTGTATTTTACTTTTCCTTAATTTCATAAGCATCCTTTTCATCTGGAAATAATTATTTCATCAACAACTTTATCAACTGTTGTGAAAGTCATTTATTTCTTCTAGAGTTCATGATTTCAATCCTTTGTGACCCAATATCTGAAATCTCAGAAAGTGCTTCTTCATCCCTCATCTTCTGCATCACAAATTTTCCTCACATTTTGAACTGATTGTTTTCCAGCATTATTTTCTCCACTACTAATGTCATTTCCACATCTTCACTCCTTACATTGTTCACAACCAGTTCTGTTATTTCCTTCAAAACCACACGATCCTCAATCTGTTCATTTAGTAATGAACCTGTGTTTGATCATTTCAACTGAGAGATACTTTTGTTAGAAATAAAGCAAATAATTTATGTATTTATGTAACAAAGAAAACAAAAACAAATTAAAGGTTTTAATCAAAACAGTTACAGTTTGAGAAAAGCACACACACACACACACACACACACACACACACACACACACACACGCACACACACACACACGCACACACACACACACACACACTGTTCTTACTGTCTCTATGAGGATTTGATACACACATTTATTCTGTTTTATTTCAGTGAAGTTCATCAGTATTAATGTAATGAAGAGGAAATAAGAGTCTCTATAACATCTCACTGTTACTGGTTGTGCGGCTCAAAGTATTATGGGTAAAATCTCTCTATATCTGTTCTGAAACATCAACACAGTTTCACTGATGATCCAGAATAAACCCCAAACCCAGGATAGAGCGGCTGAGTGAATGTGGTCTGGACTGTGTGGATGAGGCTCATTGTGTCAGAGACGCTGTAGAAGGACAGAGTTCCTGCACTGTGATCCACACACACTCCTATTCTTCTGCTGATGGACTTTACAGGGAGACGAGTGCGTATCTTATTGTGCCAGAATGTGTATCTGGAGGAAGAGCAGAGCAAACTCCAGGACTGATCATTATATCCAAACAGACACTCATGACCCCGTCCCTTCCTGCTGATGCTCTTATATGACACTGATATAAACACACCATAATTCCCACTCCACTCAATCTCCCAGTAACAGCGTCCACACACACTCTCTCTACACAACACCTGAGGATAATAATCAAATCTGTCTGGATGATCAGGATACGACTGCTGTGTGTCAGTGTAAGTAATAACTCTGTTCCTCTCAGACAGACTGATGTATTTATTCACTGTGTTCAGATCCAGAGTGAGCTGATGGGAATCTGATGGAGAGAAAACACATCAGAAACAGGAATTATGAATCTGTCTGATCTTTTAATGTCTCTGAACTCTTCATGACTCAATGTTCAATGTATCATCAGTGTCTCAGTACAGATGATCAGATATCCTGAGCAAATCCTCATTTACATGATCAATTATAAAACTCTTCTATCATGATTTATTTCTCCTTCTACAGGAAGAACATTGTGGTGAGCAGGACGGCCGAGGGACGTGACAGAATGTTGCGAGGCCGGTGGTGCGATTGCTAATGAGCAGCACCTGTGAAGCACACCGGTCTCGCATCTCTCACGAAGGAGCGGAGGCATAAAGGGGGAGCGACGGAGTGGATGATCGAGAGAGGAACAGGCCGGCTTTTGTTTGTATTTTATATTTTATTTGGTAAGCCAGCAGTCGTCCGTGAGGGGCGGCTGGCAGGTAATTTGGTTGTTTATTTTGTTTAAATAAAGTTTTATTTTTATTGTCATCCGGTTCCTGCCTCCTTCTTCCCTGAACTTTGTTACAAACATGAACACACTGACTCACATTGTAGGAAGTCGTTCCTGGTCTTGGGATTCATGTTGGTGAAAGTGACTGTGGAAATAAACAGACATGAACAGTGTGAAGAGAAATGACAAGATCAAATACATTCATTTCTGAGACATTTCTAATATAATGCTGTATGATATTAGATGATGGACTCATTTCTGAGAGCTGATGAATAATCTCCAGGGGCTTCATTTATAAAACACACACATCGGATTGATCCGTTCATCCGATTGTTCAGATTTGGGCTCTTTCTCACACGTGTGTATAAAGGAGGCGCAGGACTTTACCTCCGTCTGAGATCTTCTTGATCTCCTCTTTGCAGAAATCCTCCAGTTTGTCTCTCAGCTGACGGACAGATTCTCTCACGCCATCAAAAGAGGAGAGAGAACCGAAGGGAACGTCGGGTTCGTCTGTAGATTCAGGAGGAGCTGAGAGAGACTGGAAACTCTACAGAAAACACAAATCAAAACTCATCATCTCCACACTTCAGCCAATAACCTGCACTATATCAGATCTGTGCGGCTCTTGTAGACTTGACTTCTCTTCAGTGACTCGCTTCAATCCAGCACTTTCACACAATCAGCTCATTTTTAATGGTCCATTTCCCAGGGCTTTGTAAGTGCGTCTCTTTAAACAGAAGATGATCAGATGAGCGTCTGACTGATGATTATATGATAACACAACACTCGACTGAATCTGACTGAATTCCTGACAACATCTCAGTCAACGGCTCATTCTGCTCTCATCAAATGTTTCTCTGTCATAGCAGGATCTTGCTCAAGTCCACTATGATCCTGTTCTCCTAGATCTCTGTTACCTGCAGGAACTGGATGTGATCTTGTGTGTGTGAAAGCTGCTCCAGCTCAGCGTCTCTCCTCCTCAGATCATTGATCTCCTGCTCCAGTCGCTCCAGTCGTCCTTCAGCTCGACTCACTGCAGTCTTTTCCTGATCTCTGATCCGCTGTGTCACCTCAGAGCGGCTTCTCTCAATGGAGCGGATGATCTCAGTGAAGATCTTCTCACTGTCCTCCACTGCTGTGTGTGCAGAGCGCTGTTACACACACATCACAATCACACAGTGAGTTCAGTGAGTCCAAACTGAGACGTCTCACACTTCTCTTCTTCTCCAGACTCACCTTATGAGACTCCACATCCTCTCTCAGCTGATGAAGATCTTTCTGTCTCTGCTGGATTCTCTGACGGATCTTCATCTGCGTCTCCTTCAGCTGTTTCTGGAGGACAAACCAAAGACAGGGAATAACACAAAAAAATACTGTCATACAAAAATTAAAGTTACATGAATCCAGAATTGCTGGAGGTTAAAGATCTTGCATGGTAAGTTTTTACTGTCTGGTTCAAACCACAGATTCATGGTTTCCTGAAATGAATGTCAGCAGTATTTCATCAGTAACTAGTTTTATATCATTAGTATCATCATTTACTCTTCCTCAAGTCGCTCCAAACCTGTATGACTTTCTCTCTATTGTGAGACACAACAGAAGATATTTAGAAGAATATCTCAACTGTTTAAAATATGGTGGCACGTCATTAACGTCAAACCTCATTGGTTCTTGCACGTCACAGTCACATGACTAAACATCATGATGTCATGACACAAACACCAGTGAAGTTTGATGTTTCTGATGTCATCATATTTGATTTGGGCTCCACATACATGAGTTTATCAATTATTTAAATTGATTTGTGAATAAAAAATGGCTCTTTTAAAATGAGCATATTTTAAAAAGTGCACTTATTTTGGAAATTTCACAATTTATAATAATTGTGAAATGAATGTAATGTTTGAACATAGTTGCACTTAATTGGTTTTAAATAAAAATGTATTTTTGTTAAAATGTAAATATAAAGCATTTAGTTGAACTTAAAGGGTTAGTTCACCCAAAAATGAAAATTAAGTCATTAATTACTCACCCCCATGCTGTACCAACCCCGTATGACCTTCGTTCGTCTTCGGAACACAAATGAAGATATTTTTGATTAAATTTGAGAGCTGTATAACTACCACATTGGCTCCTAAGGGACTGCCTCTTGACGGCCCAAAAAGTCAATGAAGAAAATGTTTAAATATCCCAAGTGACTACCGTGGCTCAACTATATGTTTATCAAGCGACGCGAATACTTTTTGTGCGAAAAAACAAACAAAAATAACGAGTTTATTCGACTATTTCTTTTCTTCCTTGTAGGCCAGAACGAGACTTCCTTAGATTTCCACGACGCATGCGCGAGAATTGCGATCTGAAGTAGTGTAAGCAGATCGCAAATCTCGCGCATGCGTCGTGGAAATCTAAGGAATTCTCGTTCTGGCCTACAAGGAAGAAAAGAAATAGTCGAATAAACTCGTTATTTTTGTTTGTTTTTTCGCACAAAAAGTATTCGCGTCGCTTGATAAACATATGAGCCACGGTAGTCACTTGGGATATTTAAACATTTTCTTCATTGACTTTCTGGGCCGTCAAGAGGCAGTCCTTTAGGAGCCAATGTGGTAGTTATACAGCTCTCAAATTTAATCAAAAATATCTTCATTTGTGTTCCGAAGACGAACGAAGGTCTTACGGGGTTGGTACAGCATGGGGGTGAGTAATTAATGACTTAATTTTCATTTTTGGGTGAACTAACCCTTTAAGAGTGACATTTCAGCCGGTTGGCACCCTTTAGCGTCAATATGAGACGCAGATATATATGGGCCAGAAGGCGCCTCCTAGTGGTCTAACCCTAACCCTAACCCAGACCTAAACCAACCCATAACCGAAGCGTGTCATATTGACACTAAAGTGTGCCATGTGCATTGGATGTATACACATAGGCGTTGTACATGACGCCTTGGGATGAGAATGCGTTGGACATTTTGACCCACAGCTAAATGATCTGCTAAATGATCTGCTAAATGATCTGCTAAATGATTAAAGGGATACTCCACCGTTTTCTCATATTAAACTGTGTTATTCACTTAACTAAGACGAGTTGATACATACCTCTGTCGTCTCAGTGCGTTTGCTCAATCGCTCTGGTGCACGAGACACTTTGATAGCACTTTAACTAGCCCAGTTCATTCAATTATGGACAGTTCAACACCTCCACGTTTTTCCCATTTAAATACAGTTACAGGAGTAGAGTAACTCGACCTAGTACAGTGACACAAAATAAAACGTTGCGCTTTTCTAAGTGTGTAAAGTGGATAACTATATTGTATGGCGGAATACCACAGCAAGTGCTTGGGAGCACTTCGACTCGGAGCATATATGGACTCGGCGCAGTAATATCATCACTCCGGAGAGGACTTTTCACAATTATAATTATATGTAATTATATTACTGTGCCGAGTCCATATAAGCCGAGCCAAGCACTTGCTGTGGTATTCTCTATATACTCTCTTTAAGTGCACTTAAGCTATTGGCCTTTCATTTCATTAATATTATACTATCTGCAAGTACAGTTTTTCTAACAGTACTTTTTCTAACTAGTTTTTCTGAAGAACACCACAATTATTTGCAGTTCCTTTTTCAACCACTAGTTGTTCGATTACTCTTATGCTTTTTCTCCTTTTTGGAGCTTGAAACTTTTGTATCTCACTGACTTTCAATGTATAAACTAAAATATATGAGATATTCTTCAAATACCATATTTTATATTCCACAGAAGAAATTTAGTGGTTTGGACCAACATGAGTAAATGAGTGAGTAAATAAAGACACTTTCATTTCTGCGTGATCAATCTCTCTCAGTTCATACCTGTTTCTCTGTCCTCTGTGCTGCAGTTGATACAGTGTTGTGGTTTTTATGTTCACTCTCTTTACACCACACACAGATGCACTGTTGATCAGTGATACAGAACATTTCTAGCTCTTTATCATGTTTACGGCAGATCATGTCCTGCAGTCGTCCAGTGGCATCAATCACTTTGTGTGGTTTACGAGAGGGAAATTCCTCATGACGGTCAAAATGAGTTTGACAGTAAGACTCCTGACACACCAGACAGGACTTGACGGCTTTGTGTTTTCTTCCAGTACAGACGTCACACTCCACGTCTCCAGCTCCAGCGTAACAGTCAGCAGGAAGTTGAGTCTTCTTCAGTTTCTCCACCAGTTCAGCCAGAATGGTGTTTTTAGCTAAAGCAGGTCTTGGACTGAAGGTCTGTCTGCACTGAGGGCAGCTGTAGACGCTCTTCTCATCCTCCTGATCCCAGCAGTCTGTAATACAGATCTTACAGTAACTGTGTCCACACTGGATAGTCACTGGATCCTTCAGGAGATCCAGACACACTGAACACATGAACTCATCCTGAGAAATTCTGGCTTCTGCCATTTTACTGAATACAGAAACACAAACCCACAACAGCTCAACAATACTTGAGTTTCTGTTTCTCTGAACTGAGGAGTTGAAATGGTTTCCTGCTTGTGTGTTTGAGTGACGTGTGTAAAACAGGGGTGTGTGTAAAGCAGCTTCCTCATTCCTGGTCAATTAGTCACTTTACTGCTGTGTTTATGTGCTCTAGTGGAGTCAAACACATTATAAATACGAGTTCTGTAATGAGGAGGGAGGTGAATCCAGGCACAGACGGGATGCAGTGACACAAAGTTTATTATAAGCAGAAAACAAAACCCACAAGGGGGCAAAACATGAACAGCAAAAGAAAAGGCAAGACTAGACTAGAACTGATGGAAAACTAGACTAGAACTAACAGTAAACAGGACTTTCTGTAATCAAGACAAGAAAGTTTCTCTCTTCTTTAAGGTTTATTCAAATCCACAAACAATCCACACTGCCAAGCAGTTACATGATTAGGCAGCAGGTGCACTGACATCCATTCTTACTCTACACCTTTTATAGGTAACAACATGTGGACTACAGCGCCATCTCCTGACAAGTACCTATGACAAGACTATTGCTGTGTCCGAAATCACCTATTACTCACTATATAGTGCTCTGCTCTCTACCCCCAACATAGGGGGTAGGGAGTAGTGGTTTGAGAGGAGATTTCGGACACAGCATTTCTCTCAGGACAAAACAGTTGACTAATACTCACAGCGAATAACAATACTCAACAGAGATTCTCAAAGTGTATAACACACTATCACAGATACAACCAGGTAAGTTACTAAATGAACCGACACAGGACAGCAAACACAAGGGGATTAAATAGGGAACACTAATGACGAGGACAGGTGAAGCTGACAAGACAATAATGACAAGACGAAGATAAAGGGGCGGGGTTACGTAACGAGACAACCCAAGCACATGGCCCAAACAACAGGCCATGCGCTTGTACACAAAACAAAATATGGGTCTGCCACTAGACTAGGAAAAATCAAGGGCATGATTAGCCTGGATTCCAGCCCGAACTCCGCCCACAACATTTTTTGGTCGGGAAGTCCATCGGTCTCGATCCATTGAGGAGTAATTATGATAAGACAAGAAACGTTCGGGCCAATCAAATTGCCAGGGCGGGCTTTATACGATGATGGACAGATGATCTGCAAGGACGTAATCATCACGTTATCATAGATCGCTTTAACTGGTTTCCCTGCAGAGATGGAGAATTGAGATGTATAGATTCCGCTGTCGCGTCTGTTGTGAAATATATTGACAGCACATTCATTTTAATAGACGAACAGAAAACTGCAATCAAGGCATTTGTCGATCGGAAAGATATTTTTGCCGTCTTTCCCACATGATTCGGTAAAAGTGTAACTTATCAGCTGGCTCTGACGGTCGCTAAGAAGATGGGACGTAATGAAAAGCCTGTGGTCGTTGTGGTTTCTCCTTTGGTCGCACTCATGGAGGACCAATTAAAAGAAGCAACACTCGTTATTTAACTTCTAAAATAAGTAAAGTTAGGCTACATTCTGTAGTTGACAACTGTATGCAAAGTAGCTGACTTACTGCGTTGCTCTGATTGGTTGTAGGTTTACCGACTATCCAATTGAGTGCAGAGTTGTTTTTTTTCCTGGTTCGGTTACGACACGCCTCATAATCAAAGCCCTACGGAGGAGTTTCAGACTCATACTGTGACAAGAATATGAGTATGACGAAGTCAGGCTAGGGCATGATGGCAGAATCATGACAAAACACATTAATAAACCAATCAGTTAAATTCTGCTTTACGCAGTAAATCCAGTGTGAATTTTTATGACTCAATTCCATCCGTGTTTGGGCTTTACTTTCAGTTTTATTTGCAGTAGTTTGCATGTTGGCTTGATGAAGAGATTCTCACCTGATCATCTGATATGATGAGTGTTGAAGCACGTGTTGCATATCTGGCTATAACATGTCATAAAGCCTATAACATGCTATTACATGTTGATTTTGTAGCATTGTTGGGAGGAGTAAAATTTACCCAGATCACTTCCTGAAGTGGTTCGAACGATCGGATTTAAATCCGTTTCGAAGGGTATTTACACCTGGTCTTTAGCTATACAATCACAGAAAATGCATGAAGGGATAAACAGGCCCAAAACAACAGAGCAATCCACATTACAAGCACTCAGGGTAGTTTATGTAACCCGACTACTTAGAACATGCAGGACTTTTACCCTTGTGATACACAAGTAACAGACATACACAGAATTAATTTAAATAGCAGTTATATGCAGTAGCATGCATGACCAAGAAAGGCGGCAACACACACAATAAATGTAGCTTACTGCAGTTCAATGGCTATGTGGAAAGTTATCTGGCGCCCCCTGGCTGGCCAGCGAATAAACAGTGAGAGGCTATAACACCGATTACTTTAAGGAGTCATATCTAACACGGCACACAATCACATGTAAGATTTACACAACTAGGTCAAATGGAAGGTATAACAACGTACAGGTGTAAGCATTACAAAATAAACATCAAGAGATATAATTCTACAACTACATTAGTTAGTAATCAATAGTAGCCTTCAAAATATTTTACTCCATTGTGGATGATGACATGGCCAGTTGACAAATAAAACATTTGCGAGCAGCCACAATAACTATCCCACCAAGGGAAATGCCAACAAGCAAAATCTAACAGTTATATGCATTTAGCAGAGTTTTATATGAAACACGGTCAACAGCCCTTCGCTCGCGACCCCGCCCACTCCACGCTCGTAGTGCACAGGGAAGACGCTAATGGCAAGAAAGAGGTAATCTGCAGTTGCACACACAATTCACAGCTTTGGAAAATTTCAAGTAGCCTACAATGCAATGGGGAAACCGGGACCGTTGATCCGAGCTGTGAGGGAAATCAGTTCTAAACAGATCCACGTCAGTGCCCACTCATTCGTAAGTGATACGAATTCCCACTTTCCTCAATCAGGACGAATAGAGCGTGTTGGTTGTTATCGTAGACCTTTAGCTGCCAGGAGTCAATCGAGATGGTAGTCATTGCGTGGAGTCGTACATCCAAAGATTCGTAGGCACAGACACAGTCTGGCTTTTTGTGTTTTGACGTCTGTTGCGGTGGAGGAACATCCTGGGGGAGGACTGCCTGCTGGTTTTTATTCTGTCGATCTGCCAATCGCGTTGTACCGCTGGCTCATCAGTACTATTAGACGATCCTGTGGACTTACCTGGGGGCCGCTGGAGGTAGAGTCTGGGTCAGGCTGGGCCGCATCAAGTATTCCATAAAAAATAGTATTTAAGTATTCCAAAAAAAGGAGCACAGCTGATTCAATCTTCTTAATCTTTATTATTAAGGTTTATTCTGAACTGTTCCTCTGAATTTGAACATTCCTTTATGAACATTAACGGTTCTTCAGAACATGAACGATTCTTCAGAACATAGGCTTCTCAGAGACCTGGCAGCGCTTCCTCTCACACAGCTGAGACACATTTGGCTTGAGGGAGGAAACAGTTGAAACCCTCAGTGTGGCTTGAAGATGCTCATCAGTAAGTCTGGACCTGTACTTTGACTTAATGAAGTTCATGGTGGAGAATAGCTTTTCACATAGATATGTGCTCCCAAAAAGGCACATGGTCCGCTTGAACATTCTGGAGAGCTCAGGGAAAGTGGGTGGCAATTCTCTAAAAAAATGTCCAAGCTTTTCTGCGTTTCCACTCACCTCCCTGAACTTGGCTTTGAGTTCAGAATTGCATTGCAGGTCAATGAGCTCCATTTGAAGTACAGGAGGACTATCTTGCACATCGACGGAGAAGGGGTCAGCAAAAATTTGAAAAGTGACTCTGTGTGTCTTGAAGTCTGCAAACCTGCGATCAAATTCCTCCTGTAGCTTCATAATGGCATCAGCATACTTCTCACCACTGAATGGTGTGCCCACATCCACAAGTGTCTTGCATGCTGGAAAATGGCAGAGGTTTGTCTGAGAGAGCTGGGCTTTCCATAACACAAGTTTTGAGGAGAATGCCCTCACATTGTCATAAGCAGCACTGACAAGCTGCCGCTGGCCTTGTAACTTCTTGTTCAGTACATTCAGCTCTTGTGTGATGTCAACAAGGAAAGCTAAATCCATGAGCCATTTGGGGTCACTTAACACAGGAAAAGTCATCCCATCCTTCTCCATGAAGGCTTGCACTTCTGCTCACAGCTCAAAAAACCTCTTCAAAACGTTTCCCCTACTGAGCCAACGTACCTCCATGAAGTAGAGCACATCCTCATATTCTGACTCTATTTCCTCCAAAAAGGCGCGGAACTGTTGGTGCTTTAATCCCCTAGCTCTGATATGATTGATGCATTTCACAACAACGGACATCACATTATCAAAACCCAGGCATTTGCCGCAAAGAGCCTGCTGATGGATAATGCAGTGCAGAGCAATGGCCTCCTCCACATTCTCCTCTTCCAGTTTTCTTTGAACAAGTGCTACAAGTCCATTTTTCCTTCCTGTCATCAACGGCGCACCGTCGGTCGTTATTCCAGTAAACCTTTTCCATGGCAAACCTGCATCTTCAATAGCACCAGGGTTCTCAAGTTTGAGCAAAAGCTTGGAGTGAGATCACACGCGGTTAGGGGAGGAGCCATAATGAAGCCTCGCCCCACCCATCCCCGCCCCCAATTTTACCCATTGTTCATAATTAACCAGAACAAATTAAAATTATAACAATTAGTAAATCTGATAAATGACAGAGCAATTCATCACATCAAATACTCTTTAATGCAGTATTACAAATATAGCTAACCAAAAATATAACAAATTGCTCCAAACAGTTTCAAACAAATCTTTAAAAATTGCATTTTGATTTTTGAATGCGTCTTCTATCTAGACGAATGATTTATTGTGTGGTGGGACATTGAGAACAAATGGACAGATTAGAGTGCACCACCTCTTCCACTGTCTCCTCCTCTAATCTGGCAACCTTTTAAGGGGGCTTACCCTTTGGTGCCCAAAATGACAAAATATCTTTCTGCTTTTTTCCTGA